GACGTGATTATCCAGCGGTTTCGCCTTGCCTTTCCCCTTTCCCTTAGGGGCCCCCGCTCTTGCCGAAAGTGTCATTTGTATGTCACTTCGAACTTCTGCACGGAAGTGATGCATCTCTCTTGCCACTGTCGACAGAATTCGTAACTCGCTCTCCTCATTGAGCCTTCTTAACTCAGTTTGTCTACGTTCCGCCTCTTGCTGCCGCTTCCTTCGTTCCGCCTCTTCCCTGACTCTTCCCTCCTCCTCTCTTTTCTTGGCAACTTCTCTTGCTCCTTCACCATCTTCATTTGCACTCAGTCCTTCGTCGTTCTGGTGTCCTTCTCAAGTTCTCGTCTATTCTGCCAATATCTAGTGTTGTTTGCGTACGCTCCCTGCTGCGGCTGTTACTTCTGTTGGGGTGTCCCCGGGTTGCTCCCCCCTGACAATCTCTAGCATAATGTCCCGGTTGCCCGCAGTTGAAGCAACCCCTGTTGCCACCGCTGTTCCCTGTTCCGTCCATTCGGTTCGGCGTCGCCATACCTCCCCTCCACTCCTGTATGCAAGCTTTACACGTTGTTCTCTACCAGCTTCGCTCGTCCGACTGCTCTGAAAGAAAAGTGTCGCAATCCTAGAATATCAGTGGTGAGCTCATTTTTCTTCGCCAAACTTTTTGACAGCGAAATGAGATATCGAGAGCGAGAGATGCAGCATTGGTCGAATGACGTCATAATAAGTGGCATGGACTTGATAATTGCCCCTTTCCACATCACACACATGAACTACTGGACCCTCATTGTGGCTGACTTCAGGAGGAGGAAATTCAAATTTTACGACTCCCTCAGCCCCGACATAGAACTGGCAAGAAAAGTGACTGGCGGATTTGCAAAGTTTCTGTTCGAAAGATCGATCGAGCAAGGCAAAGAGGTGGACACAACACCGTTCAGTCACATATGAAACGTAGAGGGCGTGCCGAAACAACGTGACACTAGCTCATGCGGGGTCTTCATGCTCGCATACGCATCGCTCTTGGCAAGGGGTCACCTTCCGTCTTTTTCTTTCACTGCTGATAACATACCCGCAATACGTCGTCGAATGGCTTTGGACACAGTGACTCATGAGTAGTATGTACCTGTTGTTGGATATTGTGATTACATGCGGACGGATGTGGGTAACATGAAATTGTTTGTAACAGAAACAGTGTATAGATGGTGGCAAACATTGCTCGAGACCCTTACCCCTTACCCCTTACCCCTTCCCATTTACCCCTTATCCCTTACCCCTAAACCCCTTACCCCTTACCCCTTACCCCTTACGTGTATACCCGTACCCCGAACCGCGAATTTCAAATGCATTTTTGACCCGAAGTCATCATGAAAACCATAATTTCAATTTCGTTCAAAAAATATAAAATGTCCGTTTTGACGAAATCGCTGTTAAACTACCCAGTCCACTGGAACTACAGAAAATACTGACACTTTCGTCGCCTGTCCCCCAGACCCCTGTCGACGTAGCCACCAATGTAAGTGTCACCGCTCACTCTGTTGCTACGCTAACTCGAAGAAGAAAGACAAGCAATGGTTGATTGCTCTTTACATGCAACAACAATATTTCCATTAGCGAATCCACAACATGCTCGAAGTACCACGCACACGTTCCTCGATGTTTCGACCGGGTGCGCTCTGGTCTCATCAGGAGGCTTACCACTAACCCAGTGCTTTACAGCCCGCCTATGCTTTGCCACCCTACGAGTGAATGAGGACTTGTCTGGCCTTTGCCCTCATTTAGGTTTCGGCCTTCCCTTGCACGTACACTGCCCCTATCTTTCATGCTCTGATTGGCTACACAATCCTACCTCGGATCCCTGTATGGTCCTTGACAACCGCTCAATCCTTCTTGAGCGGGTTATGTGCACGCGTCGGACTGCCACAGAACTCCCAGGCAGTTCACGAGTGTTTCCGAGCCCGACAATCACTTGGGAATTCGAAATTCAAAGTTCCCCATCGTTGCTCTACTACTTTCCCGCCTGAAATCCGTTGCCTTTGTAGGAACAGGAGGGGGAGGGGGTCTGACCCAAGCTGGGGCCAATGGAGAATCTCTGCAAGCACGACGATTCTCGTCGGTGGAGGCAGCGCTGGGACAGGGGGGAAGGTGAAGTGGGGGGGGGAAGATTTCTTCAATTGATTTACAAGGTAATCTTCTAGTGCCATGTACCCGTCTGGGAGACAGACGGCTGTCTTTAAAGATTCAGGACAAGCGTGCGTACTGCGTAGTATCAGGTGCTTCAGAATTCCACAGTCTTCAATCATGTTATATCAAGCTTTCTGGTGTGTTGTAATTCTTGGCGGCATCTGACCTCCTTCCTCGTTCGGATATAGGATTTCAGAGATGGTGGAATCTAGACTGATATCTGCAGAGTGGCTTTGTTCTGTGCCCCTGGTTTGCCGATGCCAGAACGACACTGGACGGAGCTGGGGCGTTGCCCTGTAACCTGCAAATGGTAAGAGTGTGAGGCCTTGTAGAGAGATCTGGGGATTCGCTGAGGGCGGAAAGCAATCCAGTGGCGAACCGGGGGGGCTGCCTTGACAACCCATGGGACCAGGGATAGTCTAGGTGGCAAGAACAGGTCAGCTATGGTTGACGTTGGTTAGGATGGCATTGTCTGTGAGATGTAATGTCCTGGCTTCTCTCCCCAACAGGACATGGGGAGCGCCTTAGCTCTCCACCTTGATGTAGTTTGGAATGAAAATAGTGAGAATTTTACAAATGGAGCTTTACGGAGAGGATACAGCAGGTGGAAGAATTCCTTTTTTGTCTATTTTTGGAGATTCAGACTTTGAGGGACACTGGACCCGGTTTCCAGGAGCCTATCTGGGTAATGGCCCCAGTTCTGTTTGTTCGTCACCGGGTTGATATGTAGGGGTGTATTCCCGGGCCCCTGTCTCTCATTCGCAATGAAATGTCCCTTTTCTCCAAAAAAAAAAAAAAAAAAAAAAAAAAAAAAAAAGAAAAGAAAAGAAAAGAAAGGAAAGAAAAGAGAAAAAAAAAGAAAAGAATCTGGGTTTCTGTCAGCACGTGTCTCCCTTAGGGCCTCTGCGTTTTTGTCAGCCTGTGTATCCCGCTGGGCCCCTGTATTCCCGTTGCACAGAAGACAAAAATCATGGAGCTGTATCTTTCCATGTTCTGGGGAAGATTCACTCTCGTTTTGCACATTTGGAGATCAGTCGTGGAAACAGAGAGTGAATCTTTCGGTAGAGCATGGAAAGATACAGTGCCACGATCCTTTTTTTTGTTTCTTCTTTTCTTTTTTCTTTTTTTTTGGAAAACGGCCTGGCCCTCCAACGTGGATGTCTAGACTGCAGTTACAAACTCAGTCCTGCGACAGCCACGCTACGGCGGAGTTTGGTCTCCAGTGTAAACTTAAGAGGGGACTGGACTCCAAAACGGCAGTTTGAAATGTATTTTCAAACTGTAACCCTGACAGCGCCCTAGTTTTCTCTTTATAAAAAAAAACAACTACCCCGATTCCATAATTCCTAATTCCCAGCAACCCCAAAATTTGAATTCTACTGGTAAGTCCCCCAGGAATTTCTCCCCGAGTCCGTTATTCCTAAGGGCCGGACCCCACTGCGGTGCAGATGGAAAAGGCGTGTGGCCACGAAAAGAGGGCAAGTCATTTTGGAAAGTTGGAAAGTACTTTTTGCGGAACCCCATCGCAGAGGACCAAATGCGCTTGGAAAACCCTCTGGAAATCAGTTGAGCAAATCGTTGCCTGTTTCCGTTGGCACTCTTTTGTTTTGTTTTTTTTTCCGTTTTTTTTTTTTTTTTTGTGGCACTCTTCATCGCTATTGGCTGCTGCCTGCCATCCACGGGACCTGGTTTTGGAAAAGTTCAAGATGGCTCTGGGGGCCAACCTCAGCTTTCGGCACAAATTTGCGGCGTCATTTCCTCCGCTCGCTGTTTTCCAGACCGCGGACCATGTGAAAACATTCACAGGCTATCTTCCAGGCCACGAAATGCGGGCTGTGGGGTCCCCGAATACGGTTTTTGGGAGACATTTCGGCCTTTCCATAAACTTTTCCTCGAGGTGTGGGGTCCTGCAAACACTTCCGCGACAAAGTTTTTCCTTTCCGCATTCATATGGGGTCCGGGCCTAAGACAAAAGTCTTCGCTACGGGCCAATATATGCCCACGGGTTATTGTTATTACCTGCGCCCATTACCTGCGCCCACTATCGTACACCGGCCATAATTCCTAGTCGCCTACTAATCTACCATCTGCCGCTTCCTCGCATACAGTGAGAGACCATGCTATCGAGGAGCACTTTCCACGGCTCCTCGTTAGCGATGGTGCCCCTGGCAAATTTCGCCAGGGATGGATTTTGTGACCCCTCGGCCCGTATAATCGCATTCCTGGAGCAGCGCTAGACTGTGTCTTTTCTGTTTTGTGACGTATACGGGTGTGCTGTGTGACTGGGAAGTGCCGTGTCATCGCAAATTGCTATTGTACCTGCTAGTGTGAGTGTGCCCTGAGATAGGCTCGTTGGTCTTGCTCCACTGCTCACCACATGCACAAAAGACAAAAAAATATGGCCATCTTTCCTTGTTCTAGCCGAAGATTCATTCTTTTTCCTTTTTTTTTTTGACAGGGAAAAAAGAACAGTGCATGTCTGCCTCCATTCTGGCCATCACAGCATCTTTTATCATTGCCACACCGCACCACATACAT